TGGTTACATTTTGTTGAAGTTGCAGTATAGCAGAGCGTGGATATTAGTTTCCTTTCTTTGCTCGGAACCCTTCCAAACGCCTCCAGCTTTTGCATTCTATTTCATTAAGCTGGCGCTGAGGTTAACTTGTAGATGACTGGTACATCACAATCCTGCCTGGGGGTGGGGGTGGGGAGGGTAGAGCCCCGGATGTGAATCCCAGTTTTGCCCGCAAACTCGTTTACTGTCACAGGAGTGGTATTGCAACATTTTCTAATAAGATTTCTCCTCCCAGTTGTGCAAAGTATTCAATGCTTTAGCCCATCCTGAAAAAGGAACGGTCTGATCGCTTTGTTCGTAGGGTTTTATTATACTACGGTAACGAGCGGCTACGGTAATGCTAGCTCTAAACTTTATTTTTTCCACAAAAGCGGTGAAGGATAGAGGATAATGCTGATGAAGGAAAGTCGCTCCCAGGTAAGGTCAAGCTTTGAATTCCTTTTTTTGGAGGCTTGACGCATATTGCTTCCATTCAAAATCACCATGGTTGAATGCACTATGGTCCAAACGATGATTTACGAGTAAAAGTATTTTTTTTTTGCTCTCGGACGAGCCTGCTGCCATTTTACCGGCTCTGGAGGATGGAGGGGCTGGATTGGCTTAGATGGGAGCTGATCCGGGGTAGGTTCGACCCTTGAACAGCGGTGAGAAGACCCCGCTGCTGCACCACCTCCACTGACTTCATTCGAATGGTTTCCTCAATCCCATTTGAGTTCTATCCCAGGAAATCTTTACTGAGATGGAGAGCTCCTCGAATGACCCTTTGACCCCTCTTTTCTTGCTGATGTTTCATGTAACTCTTGCAAGATGTTCTTGGGAACGTTTTTCAGAGAAACGTTTCCACAAGAACATTCGCACAATAGTGGGGATGTGCAGTGTAAGCATTGTCAGGAACCAGTTGATGATTGAATGACTAGTCTATGACGCGATGATCAGCTAAGCTTCTGATCTCAGCTTGTGTCCAGCTAGTCTGACCGTCTTTATCCTAGAACCATATCTTACACCAACAACACACACTTGCACAACTTCTTTAGCCCTGCGTACTTTCGTTTTGTGTTCATGTAGTTAAAGTTTCTTCAGGTTGGGAGTGAAGAGCGGCTTATCTATTTCACTTTCAGTAACTTCTTCGCGTAAAAGTTAGGGGTGAGACTTTCGAGGTAAAATGAGCAACTAGATCCCTGAAAAACTGGAATTTACTCTTGCGTACTGAAACTTTTGGAGTCCCAAATATCACTTGGTAAGCTAAGAGTCTCATCAGGCTAATTGTGAAAAAGTTCATTAGTAAGCCTGCTAAAGTACGCTTTAGATTCCCATTGACTTTCTCACGTGTAAAGTACATTAGGTGAGTTATTAGAAAGTTTTTGTAAGTTATGCATACTTACGGCGAATCGAAAAGGGAGCGCTGGGATAGCAGTTCCCATATGATTGGGTTCGTTGTAAAGGATTCGCCTTTTTTGGGTGAATGGAATGTGTTCCAAATTTTATTCAGCCTTTGATAATACCAGTCTTCAAAGGAGCGTCTCTCCATCAGACCACCCAAGGAGGAAAAAGGCAAAGCGCGTCCTTGACCACCTCGTCATGAATTACGCCACGCATTGGGCTCCCTGGCTCCTATAGTGTGGGAGGCTTCTGGAGGAATCCTTGTGCAGTAGGGGGGCTAGTTCGTGTAGGTAGAAATACCATCATTCAGAGGCATAGAGTACGGCAGTTTTGTACTCGCTCGCAAATAGTAGCAGAATAACTAGTGGGAAAATGACGAAAAGGTGAAGTTAAAGGGCCCTGTTGACCTGCACGGCACTGGACAGGCATTTTTGGACGAGTTATCCGCTGCTATCGTGCCAACAACTGCTTTCATAGATACGACTGCAGTATTTATTCATATATCCATTTAGTTACGTCTCATATCTATCGTACTTCATAACCTGAAGCGAAAAGAGCCCCAGCGTCGATGTGACTGTGCGGCCTATTTGTGGGCGGGCGGTTGCGGTGGGCGTCTGGGTCGGCATATTGCACCTTGGTCGGGCGCTATATCGGTGCCCTTGGTTGGACGAAGAGCTACTCAGCGTTTGCGAAGGGGCACTATATTGTTTTGAGTAGACGTATTGGCCCTGCACACCTTGTCGATTTGTCGTGCCACCTGCCTTTAAAGTTGTTCACCAACCACTGGGCTTCTGCACAATTGAGGATTAGGCAAAGCCCTCCATTATGACAATCTCAATTTCGCCCATGGAG